TGTCCCGGCTAGGCGATAGGAGCAGCGCTTCCTGACTCATGGGTAAGGGAAGGAACAGCTGGTGACGTAAATAGGAAATTACCCGTAGGCCAGACTGTCCCATTTGACAACTCTTCCCCTTCGACCTTTAAAGCAAAGGCAATCTAGGCCGCATCCTTCTGAATTCAGGAGCCGCATCCTTCGAACACAGCACAAGCTTCTCAGGGAATCGACAGCGCACAGCTTGCAAGGAAAGCCCTGACTGGTCAAGCTCCCCCATAATCCCCCACACAAACCAGCGGCGTGTCGCTCTGTGGGCTCGGTGCCCAAGACCAGATGATCGCCGGTTCAAATCCTCTGACCAGCAATGTGATTTCAGAGTTCATCCCTTCACCCTACTTGCTACAGGGACTGGTTGACGCTACTCTTTCAAGTCACTTTGCATAACACAAATAAATATAAAATGACCAAATTCTAAATGATACTTGAACAACTCAAGCCAACGCAAGCCCTGATAGCTGTACAGAGTCAATGTAGTTTCTAGGTACTAGACACATGAAATTCCAACCACAAACTTCACACAACTGTTGGCTGGTCTTGTTGCCATTGGTCTAGCCTTAGAAGGTCTGCACTCAGGGGATTCACGCTCACTGAGGCAACATGGAGCCATTAGAAGTGTGAATCGCTGTGTCATGCTATAGGCAGGGAAATGCCGCAGCAGACCATACTTCTCCGATTGCTGCATAGTGTCTGCACTTTAACACACCAAATGAGCAGAAAGTATTTGCCAGAGTCTCAGAGTTACGGCTGCAGTTCTCTCCGTCATATAGGATCCTCACGGTTTGCTTTTATTTAACGTTTGTTCCCTGGGGTCATCGGGTCAGGGTACCTGAAAAACTAACCACTTAAAATGCCATTAATAATAACAGCAACAATCATCATCAACGCCGCTGGAAAGTGTCACATAAGCCATATTACATAACTACAAGGCAAATCAGAGATCTTTATCTTTTTAAAGAGTCTAAGACGGAGTTACCGACAGTTTACAACAAGGCTAAGTAACTATTTGTAAGTAACTATTTGTGCAGCTGTACATGAACAGCTTAAAGCAGATTCACTTATTAGAAGTTAGTCAAAGAAAAACTAAATCCATGGAATGAATGCAGGCTTCCGAAATTCATGCCAACATTTGAAATAAACTGTCCAAGTGTGTAAAAACGCTACCAGACAGCTAGGCGGGATGTTAATGTTAATCTCACGGTTAAACCCAAACAGTTAACACTGGTTCCTAATCTTTGTCAGTATAAACAGGGACTGCAGCACATCTCCAACAATCCGGCACAAGCACCCATAAGTTATCCCACAGCTTCAAGGCGGTGCTGATTACTTAATGCCCAGCAGAGTAACATACACTCTGATTCAGGAGTGTAAAAGCTGATGTTCCGCTGGTGCACGGCCTCTGCAGTGTGATCCACCATCCCAACATCACAGGTCAACGTCTGAATGTCAGTTAATGCCTCTCTCAGCATCCGGGCATCTGTCCTGGACGACTGCGACAGTGTATAGTGGGAGAGCGGGGTGGGACCAGACAAGAACACAGAGACCGGCATCCCATAGGAGCGGAATTCCAACCGAGTGGGCTTCAGCGTGAGGCTCCAGACCAAAGTGCTCACAGAAGCAGCAGAAGAGCAGCTTAAATTTAAGGAGAAGCTTTAAATGATTGTGAAAGGCTCCATCGTGGGGCTTTTATTAAAATACTTTAATAAAGTGAACATACTGGACAAGATTATGAGCTTTAAATTCAACCCTACAGAGAGATTCAACCCAGACAATCTTTCAGACCTATTGGAGTGATTGGGGTAACAGACACTTCTGTGGTACAACAGCCGTGTCATATTCGGCGTTTCAAGCGTTTGGTCTCACAGTCCGGGGACCTACGGGCAAAACTGGCCAATGACATGCCCCTAAATCGTACCCCGAAGCGAGAGTAATTCACCCTTTCGGTCTTCCAAGGCTGCCAGGCCTAAGAAAAGCTGCACCACGAGTGAGTCGGACGGGGTCTATTGACGACACCCACCCCAGCCTGAAGCAGAGGCTGGAAATCGAAGGGCAGGATGGCCGCAGCCTAAACGTTCCCCACAGAACCCTGTCGGACCATCTCTTCCAGGTAAATACAGGTAAGCGCGCTTCACACTGAGAAAGCGACTCGAGAGAACAGGCCCCGCCGAGGGTCGCAGCTCCTGGGAGGGTGAGCACGAAAAACGGCGAGTTCAGCAGGACCAGATGGGGACTCGGGAGAGAGTGTGGACAACCCAAAGCGCTTCATAAACCCTCTTCGGAGAAGAGAACAAGGTTTAAAATCAGGTCACATCCTGCTCTTGAGATCAGGCTGCTGGTTCAAATCCCAGCCAGGAAACCGTCATCAGACCCGTCGAGAAATCTATTAACCTGTATCGCTTCAGGACATACAAGATTTCTGCTCAACAACTGACAAATCCTTGGGAGGCCAGTAAGTACTGGTAAACTGTAGATACCTCGGTCGGCCCAAAACACCCCTGACAAATTAAAGGGCAAAGTGAGTACCCTACTCACCCCAACTCATGCATCTGCAGGTCAGTCCTAAACACCAAACCAAACCACCATCTATATGCGAAAACACGTCTATATCGGACCCATAAATGGCTGCCAGGATGCCTCGTGTCGCAGCTAGCTGGAAACGGATCCGCTACATATGGTATTTCTTAAAAACATGTCCACTGTGTAATTTCAAAGTAAACCGGAGGACTTTGAAGCTGTAGTTTTTGCGAAAGGGACAGCACTCTCACAATAGCCTGACTAATCTGCTCATAATATGGTTCAAATTAAAGTGTCGATCCAGGCAGGTCATGCAAGCAAACCTTCGATGCGAAATTCAAATATTATGAACGTCTGATCTGCAATAAAACACATAGCACAGAACCTCAATGATCATTTTAAATACTGCAAAGAAATACCATCCGATATTACCGGACTCTAATACTACCCAAAAGTACAAAAATTACTTTTCGTGCATCGTGCATCAGCATTGTGGACTTTATATGATTTCATTATTTACCAAAACGTCATTTACCGCTTCATATTAACAATTGCTTATATCTGGTTGAATGTATCTTTGATGCATTAATTTGTCACCGTCATCATTTGGCGACAGTGACACCTCAAGCCCCCACCAACATGAACCACTGCTTCAGAATATCTTACATTACACACAGTGACAGGGTTTTCTGTGCCTATAAACGATACAGACTAAGGAGTAGCCACGATCGTGGAGACAGACGTCTGCACATGGTCAAACGGAACGGCGGAATGAAAGAAAAAAGGGCCCCTGTGTCTTTAACGCTAATCCCTCCAAATTTAAGTGTTGTTGCCGACCAGTTAATGGGCGGTTCGGTGGAGCCTCCATGCTACGTAGTGGGAGGCCTGTCTCTCCTGCAATCACTGCCGTGTCACAGAGCACATTTTAAAGTGATACTCTTGCCTGCTACCTTCCTCACTTAGCCTACAAATTAAACGGCGTATTACTAGATGAATACCGCAACAAAAGGGGTTTATTTTGCGCACAGTACTAATGCAGTTTCACGGTTAATATTACAGTTAATTGCAACTTGACACAGAGCGACACAATAAACCTAGTTTCCAGATAGTGTATATTTTGCAGGTGGTGCCATTGTCTCACAAAATTAATTCAATATACGGAAACCCAAATGTCCAGTACAGTAGGCTACCTGAAACCTAAAAATCACGGTTTATTGTAACAGTATTCGTTATAAACACAAGTTAAGTCCGTCTGGAGGTGGGTGAACAGACTGAAATGTCTTAAGTCATGTCTTCGATTTATACCCTAAAAACTAACAAAATATATTTTAAAAAAACATAAGGAGTGGTTGAAAATGCACTGCTCCCGGTGGATCCTAGGGGTTAAACTTTTTCCTTTAATTATCAATCTCATATCTTCCTTCATCCTAAACTTCAGACAATACCGAATGTGGGCTTTACCGAACAGTACTGTTTACTGATCTATTTATAAACGAGAGAAAAGAAAGCTATGCAAGTGAGCTGTGCTTAAGAAACGCATTAACAGCCGTAATAATAGTTACAATCAGTGGCCGTCGCTTCCGTTTCCTTTATTTTTGTTTTCCAAAAGCAAAATGTTTTACTCTCTACCTCAATGCGATTTCCAGGCCACGGGGAAATATAAAGAGGCTTAATTCTAGCAACACGAATACGGGACGTTTATTTAAAAGAGGAGGAAACGTGCATCAGATTCGCAAATGCCGAGGCGATAAACTCATGGCTCCAAACGGGAGTCAAATGGCAGAGATCACGGGGCGCTTATCGCTGATGGAGAACTTCTGCTGACTTCCAACAAGTTCGTGAGACGCAGGAAATAAAGCTTAAAGAAACAGGAGACGCTCTCAAATCGTCCATTTATAAGGCGGAAGCAAAACAATCAAGGCGCTTATAACGAATTCTTAACGCTACTTCCAGCCCTTAACAGCGAGGTATATAAAATGTTTGGCAGCACGACAAACAAAATAATCACGGCAGCAAGAAGCGACTGGAGATGGAATAAGTGCTTAAAAGCAATATAATACACTCGAATTCACAAAAATGCGGGGGGTGGTGGAAATCAATTAAATCCAAATAAGCGGACGGACTACCGACCAGTCAATGAGAAATTAAACGCCGAGCTTCCCTCTTCCGAGATTCCGAGTTTATAAGCAAAGCAACATTGCCCTCAAAAGGGCTACAAAGTTTGGCCGATTTCTACTCCGAATAACCAGTCAAAACTGGCGTCTGAAGCAAGGGCGTTTGGGGAAATGCATCGTGACCATGTTTCCACTGCACATTTACAGAAAACAAAATCGATCTGGTTGTTCTGATGTTTGTTTTCTTAAACATTTAATCCAACAGTCTGACAAGTTGCACTGGATGTTTTGCGTGGCCCGGGGTTTGGGTTGGGGGGGGGCTTATTTCCTTACCGCTATAAGTGTGTTATTTCTCTGCTCTGCTGTGCTCGCCGAGTCGGGATCCTGTTTAGTTTGTTGTTTATTATTAGACTTCTTAGCTCTCTGCTCCAGGCTCCTCTGATACAGGCTGACCGTCTCCCTGCGTTCGATCTCCAGCTGCTCGGCGTGTGCTTGCTGGTACCTGGTCTCACAGTTTATATGGTGCCTCCGGCAGCCCTCGATCCTCTGCCTCAATCTCTCCACCACCGTGCTATGCTTGGGAATGCCAACATTGTTACTGTTACCGCCAGCGCCGATGCCACCGCTCATGTTGTTGATGCAAATACTGCTGCCATTCGCAGCAGTGGGGGTTACAAAATCCCCCATCCTATAGTCTATGCACAGTATTTTGGAAGAACTTTCTTTTTGCGTCTTGTGTCTGAAGTGTGTCCAGGGGTTTAGGAAAGGGGGGGGGGAATCAGAAGACTGGAAACAATCGCTGGTTGCTTCCCCCCGTTAGGAAAGTCTGTATAATAATGCAATAGTACTGAAGCCTAACTATGTTCAAAATGCAAACAGACAACAATGCCGGAGCGTGTGTGACTGGGCTCAATAGTCGGTGTTTTCGTTTAGTTCTCCTGCCAGCACAACTACACAGTGTCTAAATTAACTCCATAGATGATCCGGATGTTTCAAGCGATCATCACAACACCGCGGCCAGTGCTGCGAGCTCCTTTTGCTTTATTGTCTTTTCCTTTAAGAAAAAGTTTTGCAGCTCCCAGCGCAAATGCTCCGGAGTACTTTGGCGTGCTCGCATCTCATCGGCCGATACGCTTCCAATCCAAACCGCGAAGCGAAGCTCGTAGGAAAATCCCGTCCCCCGTTTCCAGACGCCCGTTTAAAGGTATCCCGAGAAGACGCCGATCCGCCGCTGGTCGCTTCGCAGCTGCTGCCACCATCACAATGATCAAGTGCTCTCCTCCTCCTCCATGCCAGCGGAGTGATATCAGGACAAGAGCCGAGTAAAAAGCAGCTAGAGGCTGTGAATAGCCCGGCCGAGGCGCATGCAAAACGCGGCGCGGACTCGTCCAGGCGCGGACGGGGAGTGATCAGCCTGCCGAGTGCGAGGTCAGGCAGGTACAAGGGGAACGAGGACTATATGCCGCCGAGATTAATTCGTTTTCAGCGACAGAAGCTCAGCAATAGACACGAAACTTTTACCAAAACAGATCTTAAAAGGGTAGAACTATGAACTACATTAACTCTGTCTTAAGAACCGGCGATCAGACTTACCCAGAATGCCATCTAAATTATACTTTCTCGCAAAACTATTTTCATGGATATTTGTATCACGCGAATAATTATCCCAAACGTTGTGTAATTTCTGCTGGCTGTCTTCGCATTCTGATTTGACCGTTTCTTTCGTGCCCACGCATCCCAGGATTAAGCATAAATTTTAAATATAGCCTTTGTATGTTTAGAATGAGGAATGTCAATTCGGGTATTTGTGACACCCACACAAGATTTAAGTTTCACTGATCAAACAGCTGACAACGCATGAAATAATGCATTATTCCTTAAACACCTTACACAAACAGGTGTTACCTGAGAGGGAAGTATGTGCAATAGACTTTTTACTTTGGTCACATTTTATATATGTCCATAACTCCATATATATCCATATATCCATCCATATATATATATATATATATATATATATATATATATATATATATATACACACTACATATATACAGTGTGTGTGTTTATATATAATCTTATGCCTACATATTTGTCTCATACCTTGAATGTCTCGAATGGTCTTCGTGTGGGATTTTCATACTTTCCCTATATTAGTTTGGGTGTTTTTTTCTATTCCTACCGTGGTCCAAACGCTTGCTGCACAGGTAAACTGCCTTCAGAATAAGCATGAGAATAAGGCTATTCCTCACCACAGATCCTTGCCACCCTCTCTGGAGATTATTGGCCATGAATTGATATTCTAGATTGGCATGTGCACTGATTTATAACTTGGGGGGTGCGCTGCACGTTAGCTGACCCTGTGCTGTGACCCCCCAAGTTCTGGAGAGTAAGATGGGGTCAGCAAAGGGAAGCACTCCAGTGCAAATAGCAAATAAAGCATGTTTGCAAACTCAGGTGTCAATGTAAGTGACGTGAGTCTCTGGAAGGAGCGGCACTGGATTTTGGCTCTCACCTCATCCAGGAAGCGAAGGGCCCTCACGAATAAGACATCCAGATGCAGTTCTGCTTGAACACCATGGACCAGCAGCACAGCAGCTAAAAGAAGGAAGTTAACTTTCGACCCAAATCTCATATCATATCCAGCCCCCATGTAAAAAAACAGCAGCGCCAAATGAGCTGGACTGGCTTAAAACACAGAGCTGTCCGATCAGAGTTCAGTTGTGGAGGTTTCTTCTCGATCCGTTCGCATTATCGCGAGGGATGTAGACTACGCCGAATTTCCGTATCATTAAACTGAGGACAGTATAGGTATGGATAGAGGCAATACCAGCAAAGGCTCGAACACACCTAGAAAAGAACTCATTCTCAGCGAATGAGTTCGCCTTGGCCCCCCTAAAAGAACTGTACAACGTGCTGCAGAAATTTTAACAAATTTAATAGTGTTATGAAGGTCTCTCTGTGCAATGGCACCATACTGAATCGAATTAACGGCCTGTCATATGCACCTACTGTTCAGCTTAATGCTCGTAACTTTTATAATTAGCTGAGAAATCTTCTGAAAGTTTTATCTTCATGGACACATATATTTGAGGAGTACTGCTGCTTCAAGGCACCCCAAAGTGCAGCTGAACAGGTTTTCAACAAAGTGTGTGTGTGTGTGTTTGTGTGTATCTTTTTACTTCCCGCTCTCTCCAGTGCTTTAAACTACAACGTATCTCTCAAACTACTTTAAGCCTATCTGTCTTGCGCGTCTTACACGTACAGTCATGCTTTGGGGATGGTTCCGTTTATGCTCAATAAGATTAAGGGCATTACGTAGCAAGCTTGGTGTCCCTTTGTTCAGGAATCCTGACGGGTGTTTTGTTCTCTTTTAAAGGTGGTCTTTTATGTTTACACGTGTCCCTGTGTGTCAGCACTGTCAGAAGACAGCCGACAAAGGTGTCCTTGGATCAAAACGGTGCCTTTGGTATGTGCTGGTTGTCTTAAGTTAGGGGCTTCGATGCTGTCTAGGATGGAGCCTTCCTTCACGTTGACTAGGTGTGTGTCAGGACGGGCCACGTACAAAAACAACATTCGCAGGAAGACTGATGTTTAAAAAAATGACACTTTTATTTTTCTCGTGTAGCTGACGATTTCATTGAGAGAAACTTCTTTATGGTGCTGGATATTTATAGACTTGAGTCAGGACAAGTTTCAGGCTTAACGGTATAAGAGCAATGCCCCATGGGATTTCTTAATGTTTTCTGACAACGCGTTCACTCTGAGTATATAAATAAGCATAGAAAAATAAATGAGTGTATAAATATCTGTTTATAATAAATGAAATGTTGGCCTAAGCGACGAAAATGTCTAGGCAACATTAGTCGTCACATCTACTGATTTCAAAATGGGGATTGTAATGAGTCGGGTATCTGATTACGGAAAGTGTAGTTCATTGCAGTCTCTCCCCTCTGGTTTTCCTTCAGAGAAATTCTGGCTATCTTTAACACCAGTCACAGGAGTAACAACTTTATATGAAGCGGAACACAGGCAATTTTCACATTTCCAACTGGAGAATGGCATAGATGACAGGGATAGCAGATCAGATCTTTAGAGATGTCATGTCATAATAGCCTATGTTACTTCATCATCTAAGACCCTTTCGTTTGTAAATAATCAACTGTACAGGGCACAAAGACTTAGGTTGAATATTAGAAAGAATGTTAAACATATACAAGAATGACTAGGAAGATGTCTGAATTAACTTTTAGTGCAAGAACACTTTTGTAGTTTTCTGGTTAATGTTGTTGTTTTTCATATGAAAAGGTGTTGGGGGGCTTCTCAATTGGGACAGTGCAGAATATTTTGAAGTCTGTTGTTAGGATGTGGGAAAGAGGATGTGATTGGCTGGGTGAGATTGATGTCACGGTTTGCCTTATTGGGCAGACCCATGTGCTGAGTGTGAACAGCGCTGTAATTGGTTCTGTCCAGCCGGCTTAGCGCTGCAGGAATGATAGGAATGCAGTCTACACCACCCCCACAGCACTCCTTGGCAATCGGCGCCGCACATGGACGCCGCCTTAAGCAGCGCTGCTTTCAGCTATCCTTTCCCAGCCTAACTCCCTTTTTCCTGCATTCTTTCATTGCTATCCTCCCCCAATTCGTTCTTCTTACTCTCAGAAAAAAAGGGGCATTCTGTTTTGGTATTTTACAGTTGGTGACGGTGAAATAATACACCGTTTTAATGCTTTTTCAGAACGTTAAAGGCATTTAACTGGCATTATGTTTAATTTTACAGCTACTTAACACCTCCCTCCCCCCAAAAGAAAAAAAAACCACAATTGCTATGCTCTGACTGTAACAAGTAAAAGTTTCTATTTCACCGTCTGCAAACAACAAAAGGCATAGTAACCCTTTGACAGCATTGTACAACTGCCAAAGAAAGAATGACTGGCATCTGCTTTCACAGATTTCATTTAAACTTGAAATTTGGGCTATGACATAAACATTTCTCCCATGAGAAAAATGTTAGGGCCCAGTTGCAGATGACGTAATTCTTAGACTGTAAAAAGGTGATCCTGTCATATCACAATAAGATGCATAAAGATGAAACAAGGTCAAACGTACAAGCAAAAACAAAAAAACGCCACTTCACATGATGTCCCACTTTTTTCTAGCAAACGGAATCATCTTTTTCTGTAAACACATCATTCTGAAAGCAATACTGTTTGCATGTTGGTTATATAACACCAAACTGGGCTTTGTCAAAAAAAAATAAATAAAAAATTGGCATTGACTTCAGAGTGTTTTTTTATTTAGTTGTTGTTGTTGTCAGTGTTTAACAGAATCTGCTCTGAAGGCCTGGAATGTTCCTCTGTGGTTTCACAGTTCACCACCAAGATGTTAAAAGGCATCAGACCAGACAAATTGAAGTCAGCTTCTTTCATCCTTCCAGCTTCCCACTCTCTCTTTTAATTGCATGCATCTGTGTTAATGGATCTTCATGTCACTGCTGGAGAGTCTACTTGCTATTATTTGTGGAGGGAAAAAAATTTGAATAATGTTTCAATCTAAACAGCATCGATAAAACAATGGCTAGTCCTGACACCAGGGAGGGGGAGATCTCAGTTTATATTTACGGTCTTTTAGTTGACAGTCAACCACCTTATTTAATCCTGCCGAACATTAGCTCATGATTCAAGTTCTGAAATGATAATCAAGTGAAATATATAAGGAACCAGTAAGGAGCCACTGACTATGATTAACACCTAAACCTGTAGTGGGAATCAGTGGTGTTACTCACACATCCGACAAAGTGGGTATTTGCTGGATCAGTCAATGAGGATCTTTGAGTGTGATGTCATCGCTGAAAGGAACCTTCAGGAAACGATATATTCACATTGTACACAATTAGACAGATAGATAGACAAGTAGGCAGACAGATAGACAGACAGATAGACAAGTAGGCAGACAGATAGACAGACAGATAGACAAGTAGGTAGACAGGCAGACACACATAGACAAGTAGGCAGACAGACAGATCAGACAGGCAGACATACACATAGACAAGTAGGCAGACAGATCAGACAGGCAGACATACACATAGACAAGTAGGCAGACAGATCAGACAGGCAGACATACACATAGACAAGTAGGCAGA